TTACTTACATACAAAATCTTTAAAAAAAAGAGAAAGAAAGAAAGCCAAACTCATAGAAGCAGAAAATAGAATGATGGTCTCTGGGGTGGGGAAAATTGGATGATATTGGTCAAAGGGTCTAAACTTTGAGGTACTAGATGAATAAATTCTAAAGAACTAATGATTAACGTGGTAAAAACAGTAATGTACTATATACTTGAAATGTACTAAAAGTAAATCTTAAGTGTTCTTAACCGCCCCCACACACACACACAAACACAAAGGTAACTATGTTGGGATGAATATGCTAATTAGGTTAATTATGCGGATAATTATCCAAGATATGCTTTTATCAAATGCCATGCTGTACATCTTAAATACGTACAATTTTGTCAACAAAGCTAGAAAAAACAAATTGAATAAAATTTAAAATTATACATATTTATTAGTAAGAGAAATGTTTCACTGCCTTCTCTACAGAGATAATAAAAAAGTCCTCACATTGTCTTTGTTCCAGTTACCAACTTGTGGTTTCTCCCTTCCTCATATTCCTTGGAATGGGGAAAGACCAATTTGCTTTAATGGAGGCAAGGGATAAGACATCAACCCTTTGTCCTTGAAATTACAATTTAGAGAGATTGATCCTTAGTTAGGTTTGTTGACCAAAAAGAATAAAAACGTCTCCCGAAGGAACTTGCCACAAAGGGAGAGACCGTGCTGGCAATCTGGCTCAAGAGAAGGCCTAAGAAGGTAGTTCTGATAAAGCAAGACACTATCAATGTTGCAGCTGTTCTGAAAATGGGGACCAGTGGACAAGGTTATTCCAAGACTTACAAGTCACAGTCTTGGATCCTAGTGTAGGAAGCCACTGGAGTAGTGGAAAGATTCAGATGAGCAGTGGACTATTTAGTGGTACCAAGAGGCACAATTGAAATGTCAGAGCGGCAGCACACTATAGGGTCTCTCTCCTCACTAGAAACTGGAAAAAAGACAGTTCTCTCCTGGGTGTTTGGGAACAGTTCAGGTCAGGGAAGAGAATGCTATGTTGGATTTTCTTAAGGAGTGCATGGAAAAATAGATAAATGACTGCAGGACTGCTCCATGATAATAAGCATGCACTTCAGCGCCAGAATGAGAAGGTCAAGTGTGTCCACACTTTATTGTTAAGTCCTTTGTTCATTCTCTGTTCCATTCTCTGAAGAATTTAGGCTGAATTACCTGGACCGCTTTCCTTCTCTACTTGGTTCTTTCAGACCTATTGTCTCCAAGTGAGCTGTAATGGCATTCTCGGAATCCTTTGTACTGATCTATAAATTACCTGCACATCAAGGCTGTTTACTGGTCTGCTTTGGCTTGCTTCATTTCTCTAAGAGGGCAATAATCAAAAGCCTGACCAGATTGAAGGGGAGAGCAACACAAATCATACCTCTAGAGGGGAAGAATGGCAAAGAATTTACAGCATTGTGTTAAAATATACTCTATCCTCTGGCTCCAATTTTTTTTTATTTCACTTTTTTTTTTCCCAAACTAAATATCCTCTTCCAAGATCCCCAGAAACCTCCTCCAATTACAGCATCAGTCTTGGGCTCAAGATGTGGATCTCATTACTTACGTCTGTCCTAGTGTGGGTGAGGCTCTTCTGGGGTTGGATCCTCTTGTAAGGATGGCCCAGTTAGCTAGATTGCTGAAGAAATTAGGTACTTTCCTTTTGCCTATATTGCCACTGGCAAGAATCCTGCCAAACATTTCACCATCTCAAAGAAAAGTGCTCTTTCCCCTGCCTCCACTCACATTTTCTTCACTTTCCTTCAAAGTTTCACTAACAACTTCCTCAAAATCCAATGGGCTTATGAAGACCTCCGTTCTCTAAATAATGCCTATGTTCTAGGTTTTGCTAAGCCAGCACCCACTTCCAGGTACCAAGTTTTGTTCTGCTTATCTATTGTTGCTCCCACAAACTAATGGGCTTAATATGCTTATATTTTGCTCATAGTTTTGGAATTTGGGGAAACTTAGCTCTCCCTTGGGGTCTCTCATGCAGTCAGATGTTGACTGGGATTTCAATCATTTTCCAACTGGGCTGATTACCCCAGGGAACCCAGCTGAGTCTGTTGCCCAGGACCCCTACACTGGCTTCTCCATGGGCTTGTGCTTGTCACAGCATGATAACCGAGTTCTGGGCTTGTCTGCATTAACATTCTTGTTAACTTCCTATCTTCTCAACTAAGAGGGCTAATTACTCCTGGCAAATAGTAAAAAACAAAATCAGAACAAAATTTCAACTCCAACTTCAAGCAGTTCCTAAGTAAATGTAACAATGAACTAACCTGCTCAACTGGAAATCCATTTAGAAAGAAAATGAAACAAAAACTTATTGAATGTTAAAATCGGGCTATTATAGTACATAACATTGTACATACATAATGTTAGCACAAGGATAGCAAAGAATAATTTGCAGAATAAATATTCCTATTCTCTTTTTCTAGCTAGTACAGTAATTGAATAGCAACCATCAGTGAAGTAGGACAAAAGAGGACTATTATCATAAATGTTAGCTTGATCTTTCAAGGAAATTTGATTACCTTCTACCCAGACTCCATCCACTGAGCAGAGGTTCTGCTTTTCATCAGTTTAATGTTAAGTGCCTTTTTTGTATTCAAATATTACCCTAGCTGACCATATTCCAAAGTACAAAGAACAGTTTCTTCTCACCAGATTTTGTGAGCCACATGGCTCTTCCATGGTAACATTTCTTATGAAAAAAAAAACAAAAGATCATAGATAAAAGATAAGTCTATGAAAGTTCTGATCTAATAAAGATGGTAAAAGATGCCAAAATATTTGGGTCAATGACACTAGCTCAGTATCATCTTTCCTTAAGTGAAGGTATATATTCTTTGATGTTAAAAATTCTCAGCACTTCTAGTAACTTTTGCTAATTGTTTTCCTTCAAGTTTCTTTTAGATCAACATTGAACATAACTGAAGCTCACTTTTGGAATTAAGCCAATAAGGCTATTAGTAGCACACTATGAAGAACATCCCTTGTGTGGTATGCTAGGAGGGATGAGGAATGGACATTAATTTAGTGACTTTTTTGAGTCACTTGTTTCAAGTAAAGGTATTAGGATTAATTTGGGGGGAGGATCATTAAATCATTATAGTATTAAATATAGATTTTCCTTGAGGGACATTTATCCTCTAATATCCTTATGTGAATTAAGATATTTACAAATTTGATCTAGAGATCTTTAACAAAAATGTAAATATTTTGTGTTGCTCCAGAGTGAATGATGACACACCCTCCCCTCTTTGTGTCTGTAGGAGAGTGGCAGTGGCTTTTCCAGTTCCATATAAGGACAAAAGGCATTCCTTTGTGAATTACATCCAGCTGGCTTTGAGATATGTAGGAGATATTTATCTGATTATGGAATAAGGTCTCCTAATGGAAAGATTCTGGTCACAGGATGAGGTCTCTGTGAAGTTCTTACGTGCATTCAAACTTAATAACCAAAATTATGGGTTTCAAGAGAAACAATATAGTAAATTACATTTAAACGAAATTTATTAAAATTCAGAATATATTACCTTACACATTGGTAGCAAACAAATTACTACCTACTACTATAATACAGCATTATTAGTGTAGCTGGATATTATTTCAGTTTGCTCCTCACAAATTTGCTTTGAAAGGCGGGCAGTGTTTTTATATTCCCAGTGAGAAAACGTAGGTTAGAATAATCAGCCCAAAGCCACCAAATAATATGGGGAAACTCTAGGTCTGCCTGATGCCACATCTTCCTTCTTATACAATAAATTTCAACTTTTTTACAAAAAAATAAAAACCAACAAAGTCATAGACAAGAAAGATGTGCCCCAAAATTTGAGGAGCTAAAATTCTACTTGCTGTAGAAAGGAAATTCATTTTATTACAATATGCAACTTATAGATTACACATTATTCTATATGTACATTAAAATTTAGATGTTAAAATACTTAAGAACGAACAAAGGAATGTTCTGAAGGCTATACAGGAGTATATTCTACTCCCTTATCCTATTTTTCTGCCTTAATTTTTTTGAATTTTCCAATTCTGTATAGTTTTTCTCTTCATGATAATATGGAGACCATCTTTTATAAGTTATTTTTAATGGCTGTTCTCAAAGTGCTTCTCTTTTTATAATAAAAAATTGAAGATCAGGGAAAAGAATTTTGAGTTGTTCTTGAGGTAGCACACAACTTTCTGCTAATATATTCTATTCATATTAACTTCATGTCATTAATTATTTGTGCTACAATATCTGACTTTCATAGCTTTCATCCTAACAGCCTCTTACATTTTCCTAAGTTGACATCTAAATGATAAGATATGTCTCAGAGGAAAAATGTATATATTACACTTACATACAATTGTGAAGCCTTTTTACAGAATATATCCACACTAGTTCACTCGATTTAAAAACAAATCCATGAAAAAAACCCTTTGTATTTATCCTCTATATTTTCACTTCCTAGAAAAATCTTTAACCTAATTGTAACTAACAAGACATCTCTTTCTGGAGATGAGAAGGGACCTTATTCAATGTCAATGAGTTATATGGTGAAATCGTTAATAATTGTACTTCTTTATAATTTTCTCATAAAAAGAAAGGGTTTATATATTAAATAAACTGATCGAGGCCCTGATTTTTATTAGTAAATAGCAACACTAATATAATCAATTGTTTGATAGAATTTCAAAAGTAAAAATATTGAAAAGAGGAATTAGTAGTTTCCTTTTTTCTTTACAACTGTGTTTACTAAAGTAACTTTGGTTTGCATTTGACTAGACCGCTTTGTTCATTTTGTAGTATGTCTGCTGCTCTGTGAGTCCTGATCAATAACAGAGTTTCTTCCAGAAAACAAAACAGAAGAAAACAAAAGAAGGCTTTTGGGAGAAAATAACTTAATTTTAAAATGTGAAATTGACTTAGTTCTTCCATTATCAAGTGTTAAACATCATCTAAACCTGTATTTACTCACCCACAAGTCCTACAACAATGTAGCCCATAATAAACAGTAGGAAGATTATGCAGCACAGAACATCTGTAAAATTCCTAAAGACAAAAAAGGAATAAAGAATTAAAAGAAGTCCCAAATGATTTGTTTACTGCACAAAAATATAGATAAAAGGTATAATAATAGTGATATGCCATTTTGCATGCAAAAATTCTGTTAGACAAGATGCATTTTTGTAATCAAAAATATTAGTAACATGGTTCCACAGTTGAAGAAGCTCCCTCAGACTTCTTAGCACTCCTTCTCTTTTAGTTCCTTATTTGTAAAATATTTTTAGAGTTCAAAACACACCAACATCAAGTAGTTCTTCTTCTTAAATTTGAAAATGTAATTTAAGCTACTTGATTGTATGGTTTTCCTCTTCGCGTCTTTCCAACATGTAATATAAAATTATTAGCCATTTTTTATCCCTACCTTCTTTATCTTCTTTCTATATACAAATTTTAATGGTACTCTTGTTAAAGAAAGTATTGACTGTATTACTAGCTTTAAGGAATAGAGTTATAACTATTCTAACAACAATGTATATAAAGCATTAAAAATGTTTCCAAACTTTCCATTTTCCTGATCTTCTATAAGCTAGATATTGTCAAATTAGGTTCAGAGCAAATTCAACTTAGAGAGACTAAGTGATTTGGTAAAGGTCACATGCCATGCCAGCAGCCAGCAGATACTCAAGGTTTTCAAATGAAGTATTTCCTGTCCCAATATTGCACTTCATTTAGAGTTAAGTGTTTTGGAAGGTCAAAGCTATATCAAAGTTGTGAATGTGAACAATATTGTCATTCTTTATTTGAAACTTAATGACAAACCTGTTAGTAAAGAAAAAGATTGCCCCTTTTGACAGGATTAAAGGTTGCACATGAAAAATTTCATAGCAAAACATTCTAGTTATTGAGGGCATATGGATACTCTGATCTTTCAGCAAAGGCAGGTGAAGTTCACACCATTTCTAGTGGCAGCAATAGTATAGCATCAGGGAGACCTAGAGTTTTCCCATATTATTTGGTGGCTTTGGCTGATTATCTAACCTAAGTTTTCCCACTGGGAATATAAAAACACTGCCTGCCTTTCAAAGCAAATTTGTGAGGAGCAAACTGAAATAATATCCAGCTACACTAATAATGCTGTATTATAGCAGTAGTAATTAATGATAATTGCACAGTAATAGACATGGTACTACTTACACTGATAAAGTCCTGTTATAACTTTTTGCTTTAATATACATAACTTTGGGGCTAGGGATGTGGCTCAAGCGGTAGCGTGCTTGCCTGGCATGCGCGTGGCGCTGGGTTCGATCCTCAGCACCACATACAAATAAAGATAGTGTGTCCGCCGATAACTAAACAATAAATATTAAAAAATTCTCTCTCTCTCTCTCTCTCTTCTCTTTAAAAAAAATATACATAACTTTGTGAGTTTCCTAAGAATGATTTTGGTTACCAGAAGTAATAATTGTGAGTTAACATACTTAAGAAGCATGATAGGTAGTTATGAAGGCAGGTAAATATATAAGCCTTTAATGCCTAAACTTTTAAATCTACTAGTTATGTCAATATGATTATTCGAAATAGCTATGTCCAAAAATAATTGCACCCATTCCCATAATGCTTTATAGGAAATGGATCTTTCATAAAGTTAACTGTGTCCAGTCCAGAAAACAATTATCATTTGTTTAAATTCAATTTTAACCTAGAGATTTTTAAATTTCATTTGTATTTCAGAATTATGAGAATAATAAAAAGAGAAGAAAACAGGCACTCTATTTTTTTTTTATTAACAACCCTTGAAAGCAAAATCCTGCTTAGGTGTGAGGAGAGATCTGTTTCATGTGCATTCTGACACATCCTTTTCAAGATCAGGGTCTCATCCTTCCAGCACCATTGTTAAGTAGCCAACACCTAATAGGAAATGCCTGTAGGCAACAGCACAAAGAAGGAGCTGGAGTGCTTTAATTAGAAATCTTGTAGCTGTCAAAGCCCTGGTGTGTGATCATAATTATCAAGAAGAGGAAGATAGGGATGTGACTGGCCGCAAAGCCAGATCTACCCACCAACCGGTATTATGTATCTATAGTGTTTACATCTATATATTTATATTATATATAATAAACACTATAATGTATATTTAAATGGCTTAATGTTACTTATTATTTTAATGTGATATATTGATAATGTTATGCAGTGAGCACAAGGTCAGGTAAACATACTAGAAAAATAAATGAAGAGCTTACCAATGTCAAAGCATAGGTCACGATGCAAAGGAAGGAGTTCAAATAGAAATTTTACAACAAGTAAAACCCACATGCCTTCACCACTCCCACTGACAAAAAGGCATCAGTTTAGATTTTGGCTGCAGATGGGGTTTTTTACACATGATTCCTTTTTTTTTTTTTGTGCTGGGGACACACTAGAGCATGGGGGACTAGTCCATGCCCACACAATGTTCCTCTAGCCGGCTCTTCCACAGTAGGATAGCATTTTTAGAGCTTTCTTACTGTAATTGAGGGTAGTTATAATCCACAGAGAGCAAGGACAACGCCTTCAAATTAGTTTCTGGCAAACTACTTTAGAGAAGTAGCAAACCATACCCCATGGCCAGACTATTTAATTTTATTGTTTTTAAACACAGGAGAAGGTTGAACAAACTGAACATCATGAATACAAAAGTCACAAAGAGTAGGAACGCTAATATTTCTAAACTTTCTCTGGTAGTGATTTGGTTTCTTTCATTGTTTTAGAATTTCTCTTTTTTAAAAAATTGGTGTTTTGCATGTGTGTATGTATACTTTTAGGTAATTACAATTATCTGTCCCCCCCCCAACTATTTGCCTGTCTCCCTTTCTTCAGATATATTCTCTTGAGAAGAAAGGCGGCTGGTGTTTAGAGAGTTACTGGAAAATTGTATTTGGACAAAATATAAATACAGATTGAGCATCCCTTCATAAGAAAAGGAATATATCAGAAGCTCAATTGAACTTCTAGAAGTTGTAGCGTCTTATCATTTTTTTTTTTCTTTGGACTCCAGGACATCTATCATACTCCCAAATGTTCTATAGAAAATGAGGGGTTTTTTAGACCAAGGATTTAATTTGGATAATTCTAAAAACTCACAGAACAGCTAGTGAGATGACTGTATGATATGAGCTATGGGTAAAAGTCATTCTGAATCATATTCTAGCTAGAGGGCTGTCATAGCTGTATCTTTTCCTCAGGTGGGCTCATTTTTACTTTCACAGCAAGCACTAAGAACCATTGTACTAAGCTAAAAATGGGCTGCATCCCACTGGGTCCCAGAAAGATGAAAGGAAGAATAGTTACAGAGAAATATCCCAACCGTCTTCCTCACTCTTCCTCCAAGTCAAAACCCCACGTTTACAAAGCACCCTCATTTATCAAAAAGCCACCCAAAACTTTATCCAGATTGAGCTGCCCCAGCATGAAAGTATTTTCAAAAGTTAAGTTACAGAAGCACTATTACTACCGTATATCTGTTTTCTAAATTCAGGAAGAATTGGAGCCCAGTTATAATATGCATTTGCAGATTTTCTTTTGCCTCCTATCTCTAACCCACAAATATCGTTCAATTACACTCACCTAGACTGAAAATGTTGGGACCTTCCTTTCATTTCCCTTTTTCTTAGTGTATCTTTTATATTCAATTGACAAGTTATCTTCACTCCTTCTCTCTGATGTGTCTTTTATCCACTGCTCCCTTTGTATTCTTGTTGCCTGGACTCAGTCCAAATTCTCTTATTCTGTCTTCAAACTATTGCCATGGTCTCTTAATTGGGATCCTGCAAGTAGTTTCTGCCTGGTCCAAGTCTCTCTGTACATCAGATATCAATGATATGTGGTGCCATCATTTTATTGTTTAAGAACTTTGGTGCCTCTCCACCACCTACTTAATAATTTCCAAATGTCTTAGTTTCATGTTTGAGATTATAGAAGTCCAGTTCTAGTTCAAGCCCCAGACTATTTTTCTAGTTTACTTTCCATGCCTCTTTTTCCACATGCTTTAACCAACTTGGACTCTTTCATTCATTGATATGCAGTTCATTGTTTCTTGACCATAGGAGGGGTCAAGCACTACTCTGCTGGTAGCATCTCTAGACTCTCCTCCTGGGGCAACCATATGTCCCCATTGGCCTGGGACAGCCAGGATTTACACCTGTTGTCCTGGAATACCCATAAAGAATGCTCTCTTTACTCTCATAAGTGCCTAGGTGTGGTCTTTCACTCCATCTGGGAAATCACGTCTTTTACATCAACTCAAATGTCACCACCTTCATGAGATTTTCAACTAGAAGAGACCAAATCTCATCTTTGTAGACCTGTAGAAATTCTGTTTTTATATCTTCAAGCAGTTATATTTTATTTATTGTAACTTAGACCAGGGTGGCAAAATTATGGACCATGGGCCATATCTAGTCTGCTACTTGTTTTTGTATGGCCTATAAACTGGGAATGTTTTTTTGCATTTTCAAATGGTCTAAAAACCAAAAATAACAATATTTTATGACTCACAAAATTTATACAAAATTCAAATTTTAGTATCTGCAAATAAAAATTTTTGCAAAACAATAATACTCTTTCATTTATGTACTATCTGAAGCTACTTTTGTCTTATAATAGCTGTTTAAGAGTTGTGTTAGAAATCACCCTGCCTGCAAGGGTCAAAATAATCACTACCTGAAACTTTATTAAAGAAGCTTGCTGACTTCTGGCCTCAGCCATAAAGTCGTATACAGCCCCACTTAGCAGAGATACTGGCATACTACAGACCTACAGGGGTCTCTGTCCCACAAATGATTAGTGAGACACACCTTTGACAGTCTAATGCATCATAAGCAGGCTCTGGTGAAAATCAAAATGCTGTGCTTCAAAGTTCAGATCTTTTTTTTTTTCCTGACCTAACATAGTAAATGTATTGTCTCTAGATTTAATTTTTTAGTCAAGCTTCAGCATGCCATCTGGAAATTGCTATCTCCAATAAAATCAAAATCACTAAAAAACAAAACAACAACAACAAAAACATT